CAGTTTTTGTGCTTTTGCCTTTATACACCTCTACAATGGATTTAAAAAATAAAACAATCTCTGATTGATCTCCAGAACTTTTACCTGCTTAGTTGATGTAGAAATAACGAAGGAGTATCCCACATCTGTCCATGAAACAGCTATTGAGTCAGAGTTGTTGTTTGTTTGTGGCTCTTTCTGTCTTTAGTTTTGTCTTCAGCGAGTGAAATGCAGCTCAATCGGGTTGAGATCAGGAGATTGACTTGGCCATTGCAGAATATTCCACTTTTTTACCTTCAAAAACTCCTGGGTTGCTTTTGCTGTATGTTTTAGGTCATCATCCATTTGTACTATGAAGTGCCGCCCAATCAACTTTGCTGCCTTTGGCTGAATCTGGGCAGAGAGTATATCCCTGTAGACTTCAGAATTCATCCTGCTGCTTCTGTCCTCTGTCTGTCTGTCCATCATCACTAAACACCAGTAAACCCAGTGCCACTGGAAGCCATGCACGCTCATGCATCACACTGCTCCACCTTGTTTCACAGATGATGTTGTGCGCTTTGGATCATGAGCTGTTCCAAGCCGTCTCCAGACTTTTTTCTTCCTGTCATTCTGGTACAGCTTGATCTTAATTTCAGCCGTCCAAAGAATGCTTTTCCAGAAGTACTCTGGCTTTTTTAGATGTTTTTTGACAAAGTCTAATCTGGCCTTGTTTGCACCTTGGGGTGAAGCCTCTGTATTCTCAAGTCTTCTCTTGATTGTAGACTTTGACAGAGACACGTCTGCCTCCTGGAGAGTGTTCTTCTCTTGGCTAGATGTTGTGAAATTGTTTTTCTTTACCATGGAGAGGATCCTCTGGTTATCCACACTGTTGTCCTCCGTGGACGTCCAGGCCTTTTTATGTTGCTGAGCTCACCAGTGCGTTCTTTTTTCTCAGAATGTACCAAACTGTTGATCTGGCCGCTCCTAATGTTCCTGCTATCTCTCTGATGGATTAGTTTTGTTTCTGAAGCCTAACAATCGTCTGTTTCACTTGTATGGAGAGCTCCTTTGACCGCATGAAGTGGGTTCACAACAACAGCTTCCAAATGCAAATGGCACACTTAGAATCAACTCCAGACCTTTAACCTGCTTAATTGACATAGAATTAACGAAAGAATAGCCCACATCTGTCCATGAAACAGCTTTTGAGTCAACTGTCCAATTACTTATGGTCCCTTGAGGTACATATTAAAGATCTGTAATTCCTTAACCTTTCCTCCAATTGTAATGTGTATACCCTCAAATTAATGCTCAGAGTGTGCACTATAAGCCCATATTCATTATATAACTGTAACTTGAATATGTTTAGGTCAGCAGCTAAAAAATAAAAAATTGTGCCTGTGTCCAAATATATATGGACCTGACTGTGTGTGTGTGTGTACAGTGTATATATACAGAGTTCTGGCATGTAACTCTAGATGGCGCAGTCCGATAGGTCTAACTCAGTCAACCTAATGACATCATCACATGGCACAGCTGACTGGTTGTCTCCTGTATCGGTAGCCAATGAGCTCTCTGCTCAACATTCAAATATATGATTAGTGCTTGCAG